ATCTGGCAGTTTTAGAGATTAGCAACGCAAGGGCTTTGGGAAAACAAGGGCCAACATACCAAGCTGGAATCAGTATTGTCAAGCGTACAGCACTCAGAGCATCCAAAGAAACGCTGTTTATATGACACCCCTATGGCAATGTAACGCTCCATAGCTGCCAACAATTTTCCTCCCTTTAATCAAATGCTGGGCCTGTCTTTTGTTTTCCAAACTGCATCAGGTTGTAATTCCTGTTACTCTTCAACAGGTGCATAAGATGAGCACACAAAATACTGACAACCTGCTGCATTTCAGAAATATCCCCTTTCCTTCCTGATTTAGGATTTTACTTTCTGCCCTAAGTCACATTCAGACTGCTGCAACTTGCTAACTCTCCCATTTCAGTGCTAACACAAGTTGTCCACGTTGTGCAGGATAAACCTTTCCCATACAACAAAAGACGTTAAACCCAAGATCAAGGACTTGCTCTGACATACAGTCTAACTTCTGTTATAAACTCAGCCCCCTTAGTCACAGCCAGCAAAACCTTCACAATGTGCTAGGCCAAGCACATCATTAAGCTCTTCACACATGAATCCTGCTGTCCCAAAGAAACACAGTATTAAGCACAAGGAGCTGGAGATAACGCTGCTTCCTCAGAAAAATGCTTCAAGTGAGCTGAGACCACACCAGTCTCTAACAAATCCATTTAGACATTGCTGCGTTGTTTTTTCACCAGTAATGTTACAGACAAAGCCTCGGCTACATGAAATCTGTCAAACATAGACCATCCGGGAAATACATGGGAAGGATGCAACAGAGCAATTTGGTAAGGCTACTCAGTGAGCACTGCTGAGCCTCTCTGAAGCGTGTAAACAGGAAAACATGCTACTTCTGCACCCTCGCGGGTTAAAACATAACTTGAGAGCGTAGCCTAACTGTAACCTGCCCGGGAACGCCGTTCGTAGCCGAAAGTCGATCAAGAGATCAATCAGTTAACAGGAAAACTCACAAGAGTTACTTATGGCAGCGGCGGCCTCCCGAGGGCCCGTCTGGCACCAGCTTCACCGCCTCCCACCTGCGAGTCCTGCAGAAGCCGCCCCGGAGACGGCGGCCCGCTCCCGCCACCGCTCCACCCCGAGCCCGGCGGCCCAGACACGGCCAAGCCGCCCCGGGCCACCGGTAGGGCCCGGCCCGCGGAGGAAAGAACGGCAGGTCCCCACACCCGGGGCGGGGGAAGGGCCGGAGGATGCCGAAGCCGCCTCGCTCTCACCGCGGAGGCAGGGCCGGCCGGGCCGGGCCGGGACCGGACAGGGAAGGGAGCGCCTCGGCCTCCGGCCGCAAGCCCCCGCCGCTGCCCGCGGCCCACAGCCGCCCCTTCCGCTCACGTGACGCCGGCAGCGAGTCGGCAGGCTAGGCAGCCCGCGCAGCGCCCCCTGCCGGAGGAGATGGGCGTAACGCCTGTGACGGCCACAACGGCCACCCACCCGCGGAGCGGGGTGGAGCGGGGTGGGGCGGGCCGAGCCAATAGGAGCGCGGGAGGGGCGGGGTGGGGCGGGGTCAGGGCCGGCTTCTCCTCTCCCCTCCCCTCCCTCAGGGCCGGCCCGGCGCTGCCTTCAGGGCCACAGCGCAGCGCCGGCCCAGGCGATAAAAGCTGGAACCAGTAACCATAACCGTGCGGTGGTCTCTTGTGGGCGGTCGGGCCCCGTTTGAGCCGGGCCTCGCCGGTAGGGGAGGCCCCGGCGGCTCTCGGGTGGCGAAGGGCCCTCCGAGGTGGTTTGGCCGCGCCTTGGTAAAGGGCGGTCCCGCTGCTCTCCGCTGTGCCGTCCTGAGGCGGCTCCTGCCCGGCTCTGAGGTGGGTCGGTGCAGGTAGGGGCTAAAAAAGAGGGGCCTGGAAAACCTCGCCGAGCTGTGAAGAGCTGGGGGGAAGAGGCTCCCTCCAGTAGCTGTGAGCGGTTAGGTCCGTTCAGCTGTTTGGTGAAACCCTGCTGTGTAATTAGAAGGCATAAACCAGCAAGAAAAGCAACGCAACTAAGATCTCTCTGTATTGCAACCCGCAAGAAGGTGTCCTACGTGCTGGTACGAGGGGAGAGCTCTTGCCATCAAAGAGTTTGTAACAGAACAGCGAAATGCCACGGGAGAAGTAACGAGGGTTGCGCCAAAAGCAAAACCGACGTCGTGTCAGCTTGCTTCTGATGTCTGTGTCCTCACCTGACCTCATGACAGAGTTATTAAGAAGTTTTATGTCTTTTTAGGAGGCAAGTGTATTCACAAAAGAAACACACGTATACCCGGGGTTGAAAGATACAACACACAACAATAGGACAGTATCTTACAATTTCAAATGACAAATCTATCTCCAACCGCAGCTGCAAGGGAACAACTGTAATACAATATGGCCGCAGCTTCCGGATTAGTGTGACTTCAGTGAAACGCGTTCAGATTTTGGCTTTACCCCTAAGCAGAAGCACCCTTAATAACTGACAGTCTTTGATGCCAGTGATGATTCAGAGGGAAGTGTTACTCTGTGACTAGTGATTCTGACACTTAGGATTTGGAATCTGACCATGAGAAACTATGTCCAAATCTGGCCATAGCTATTTGTAGCCACTGCTGAATTCAGTGAGAACTGGAACTACCTTCCAGGTCAAGCTTTGCTATGACAGAGGTTCTCCATGTGATCGATATACTTCATTCATTTTTAGCATTATTCATGTAAATTAATATAGGATTTCTTCAAGACTTGCATGCAGAGTTAAGGGAAGGCTGAAATCATTACAGATTACTTGAACCATATGATTTTTTTCACATTAATACATCAGTATGCCTTTAAGGTGTGGTTGATAATATTTATAAGCCAGGCCATGACCAATTAAGAACAATAGAAAACATCTTTTCCAAGTTATTGTTATAAATAGCCCAAACATGGACTTTTAACATGTAAAACTGATTTCATCATTCCTGTATCACTTTTCCACTTGACTGAAAGCATTAAACATTACTGACCAATAGAGTCTTGCTGAATGTACTTCTATTTTCTGACTTACAAAACAACATGCTGTATACTTCTATAATATATCATTCATGAGGGCCAAGGTTAAAAGAGTAGTTACAGTTTGGTAATTTCTCAATTCAGCCACAAAATGTAACTGTCTCTGGCTAGATCTATAAAGACAGGACAAGGCAGCCATAAAAGATTGGACAAGGTTTCATAAAGCTGCTGTTGTTATTAGTCAAGACCCTTCTAGTTTCCTGTCTTTAGCTGTTAATTCTGCTAAAGGGCACACCCCCCCCAACTAAACCAAAATGTAGTTTGTCAATGCTAAAATGTGGTTACATGTGTTAAAACTGCCATGAGATCATCCTACAGGACGCACAGTGCCATTCTGTCCCCTCCTATTTCAGCTTCTCACAGATGCTCTTTAGAAAGGGGCTTTGATCTTCCAATGCTGACTTTAACTCGTGACAAAATATTCGTAAATTACATATTACAAATTATGTAATACAATGCCTTCTTTTACTGGAAGAAGATAGACTTATATGCTGAAAGTATTGGGGAATAGGTAGATGACAGGGAAAGAAGCAGTATAGGCTTTTGCTGGGAAGATGTGGGTTACTACATGCATGACTCCAAAATACAAGGGAGAAGAAGAATGAGAAATAACCCAGAAGGCATAGTCCAGAACAGGCTTCCCTCTCTGCTTTGTTTCACTTTCAAAATTATTTTTAAAATTCTGCATTGATGTATATTTGCTTAATTTAAGATGCAGGAAAAGATTAGTTATCCATTAAAGATAATCACACAGGAAAAGGGTCCTTCTGTTTTAAATACAAGGTCGTGAGTCTTAGATGGTGAAAATTAGCTTACATCCATGAACTCCAGTGGAACTTCATCAGTGTATTTTTTGTTGTATGGAACTATCTTATCTGAGTGTTGATGTTAAATGCTTTTTATAGCATGGAGCTGCAGGAAACTGATGTATTTTTTTAAGTATAGCATAAGACATACGGTATTGATAAATGCTACATAAAAAATATTCTCAAATTCTTTTGTCATAGGTTTCCCTGTATTCTTACTTCTGATATTGGTTAAAGAGTTTAAAAAAAAAATACACTTAGGAAAAAAACATCAGCTGTCTTTTATGACAGCTTCTATTCTCTCTCTGCCTCTTAAACAAGTGAGCGTGAAGTTCTGTTTACTCATTATCACTCTTCTTCATTTTCAGGCTGCCACATTTTTTCTTTTCTCTGGTACAGATATGGCTGATAACAATTCCTGTCTTCTGAAGAAAATCCACGTTATATCCACAATCTCAAGTATTCACTCCATCATTTAGTTGAAACCTTTTACAAGAATGCTACAAATGCATTTGTGATAATCCTTTACTCCTGTAAGTTTCTTCCTATTCAGTTTTGGAGAAGTCTTCCAGGAGAAGCAAACAAATCCCCAGATACTGTATTTCAAGCTACATTCTGTATACGCAATGTCAGGATGTGTGATGTAGGAAACAATTCTGCATTAATTGAAAGATGGGCTAGTTAGCCTGTCAGGTCTTTTCCATGTATAATTTAGGCTGTTCTCTGTCTCCTGTGGTGCAGCTGTGCTATACTAACTGCAAAGTGACAGTCTCCCACACCTCAGGACAAAGACTTTCCATAGTGCGATCAGGTCAGTCTAGCAATTACACAGCATCTTGGTATTTGACATCTTATAAAGGACTGTGTAAATGTAAAAAGTCCCTAGATTAGGCCTGCAAAGATCTTTTAAAGTATTTTTCCTTTTGATAATAACTGAAACAATTTACATGGACAATGTCCCTTTTTCTCCTTTCCTTTTGTTTAGTCTGATTGCTTAGTGAAGAATGTCTGAAATATTATGTTACCAGACAGAAGAAATGCCAAACAGATTTTAATTTTGTATTATTCCACATAAAATGCAGGCTTATTTGTCTTCTAATATAGTCAGTGTAATGTTTATACAGTACAAGAATAGAAAGATATAAACTACTGCTGCAAGTCCATTAAATATGGTTGAACATTATAGTTACTTTTAGCTTATCAGTTCCTAACACAATACAGACAATTATTGGTCAGGAATTCACTACACCTGTACTTTATTTCAAAAGAATGCCCTGAAGTGCTTATTATTAGAGGTTCTGTGTTTTTATTACAGTTACAAGATGAATGATGGGAGCTTTTTCACCCAGAAGATATTTCCTTGTGCCTATTAAGCAAAGAGTTTGTAAACATTACAGAAAACATTGTGACCTCTACAATTAATACATAGCCCAAACAAGACAATGTATCATAGATAACAGTAGTCTGAATTATATTTGCTACTGAAGATGGTTTTGTGGAACCTGGATGTTGGGCAAATACTTCTTGTGGCTATGGATCAAATGTTACAACACAGGTACTTGCACTGGATTATCCCAAAGACATTCTGAAAAGAACAACTGCATTTCATAACAATTACTATAAATACAGTCCTTCTCTCTACCAGTATTTAGGGGGCAAACATAAGACTTAAGTCCTTACAAATTTGAGAAGATTTGTGTTACCCACATAAAACTGCCTTCACAACTGTCAAGATACACATAATTACTAAGCTTTGGGTTAGAATGAATGTAATTTACAACATATGCCTAGAATAAATATATAGCTTCTGAAGATTAGCTAATCAAAGATATGGCCTTTCTTACATACAAGCAATAGGATAACATTTAAAAAGTAAAGTAGAAAGCTGTACATTTTATACAGTTTTTCAAATATATTCTCACTTATTTGATGTTATTTCAATTTTGAATCCAAAGTACATTTATACAAATGTTTTCAAAGGTGGGAGTTCATGTGAAAGACAACAGTGAAGCACAAATCACAGTACCTTTGCACAACTATCCCATTTTACAGATGGTAGGTACTGAGAAAGGGCAGTAACCAGCTTGTATTTCCTAGGAGCTATTTACATCGGTCAGCTTTAGGTACGTAGCTGGTTCAGTCCACATCTAGTCTCCCTGTACTCTCTTGGCTGCCAAAAGGGAAAGCAAGTTTTCTCCTGCAGGACGTTCTGACCAGAAGCTTCTCCGAATCACCTTTTGGGTTGGCATTTCTTTCTCTATTGACTATGGGAAGAGCAGCCAGCTAGCTCAGCTGACTGACATTGGGCAGTATCACTATGCTTCTTATTGTCAACATTGTTCCTCTTCAGCTCTTGGTCAACACAGCTTTAATTCATTCTCTGTTTCCACTGTAATATAATGCTGTCACAAGTCCAGCTGTTATTTTTTGTTAAGGGTGAGATCTTCCAAACCACTCAGTAGACTCCACACCATGTTAAATGTAACTCTAAGTACTAATATGCATTTCTGTAGTGTACTGAATATGCTAACACGCAGCTAGAAACTGGTGAAAATTATTCTCATAATTCTATGAATTTTGAAAAGTATATCACTTGTTTACAAAGTAATTGTAATAGTCAACAACTACTGTTTACATAGTATTTTGTTAACTCTTGGTCCAGAGGTAGAGACATAAACAAACAGTTTTTGTTCCCTAACTGGGCCTGTTCATATACATAAACTGTAAAGTGCATGAAAGAAGATGTTAATGATATAAAAGAAAAAAGTTCTGAAAGGTCTGATAAATAAAGTGATTCTGCTTAAGAACATTCATTTTCTGTTTCTAAGATAGTACCACAAATAATGGAAAGGCCAAAGGGAGTACTAGATGTTCTGAGGGAAAAATAATTGTAACTGCATAGGTGAAAAGTTGGTCCCACGGTACCTGAATGCAAAACTCCGATTCATCAGGATGAGGGTTTGATTCCTGTATTGATGTAGGTGTGATCTCTTTAACGGTGTTAAAACGGAAATGTGCATCATTCTCATACAGAACTCATTTGTTTGCTTTCTTTTTTCTGCTTCCAGAGTATAAAAATTAACTGTTAATGCTCCTAATGCTTTAAAAATATTTCCAGCTATTAATGAAAGATAATTTATAAGTCCGTGAACATATAAGCAAAAGCAAATGCTGAGCTCTACTTAAGCAATCACCAGTGACCACGAGAATTACTGGTCCTATGTTGAAAGTCCCATATATTTGTAAGTATTTGCCAGAGTGAGGCCCTCACATATATATAAATGAATGGTCAATTGTTTATGTAAAAAGTATGTTCCATTTTTTACTTATATGTAAAATTAAAAAGCAGATACTGCATATCACTATCTTTTTGATCAGATGATTTATGAAATGCTGGTCAGTGAAAGTCAACCAGTCACCTTAATGTTAGAAAATACATCTTTAAGACAAAGGACACAGGGAGAGACATAAAAGGTTGGAAGCATAGAAGCATATCCTCATAAGTACTAAGCAATCCCTATTGTTGGACGACCAGATTGAATCATCATTTAGGTAGGTCTCATCAAAGTTCACAATCTTCAAGTCCTTCTTAAGGTATGTTTCATTCAGTTTGTTTAGTGTTCGAGCAAAGGTATATTTAGATGCACAGCTATACGCTTCCAGATTGTAGACTTTGTGGAAGTGCATATCAAAATATGGATTATCCTAAAAAAAAACAGAGAGAATGAAATTATTACATGCATTACGGATGTTAGAACGGCAATCTGTTGTTCTCTGCCCAGCTACCTTCAGGGCTTTTTCTCAGTTTGATGGACTTGAAAGGACTTTGCATATTTCTATTCATACAAAAGGGTCTTTTAAAACTTTACAAAGTCGCAGTTTATAATTAGCTGCTATTCTTTGCTATTAGTTTTGTCTGAGTTTTCAGTTTGCCCGAGCAATATGCTGCACTTTATTGGGATTATACAAGCTTGTTTTGAAATGAACCAATTTGTCATGTTGCCTAAAACACACTATGTGAAAAGCACTTGCCTTGGACTATAACTATATATGCCTGTCAGAAGAAGAATATTGATTGCTCTTCCTGCCTAAATTGTAATTCTGTGTGCTTTCTGGCTCTTTGGCATAATTAATCCTAGCAGCAGCTAAGTTCTGTTAAATTCTATGGATATGAATAACTATTAGGAATATTTATAGCAGTGTTAATTACCCTATAATTATGAGTTTGAGGTTCATTTAGGCTTTTAACCAAAAATGAGACAGATTTTGATCATCTCAGTTGTGGAAGGCTGAATCATCCCTGAAGGATATTTTAGCACAATACTTCAGAAAAAAAACTAAAGTAAATTCATGCATGCAAGTGACAAGGAAATCCTCTGGCTGCCTTGGCTGGGGAAGGGACAGGAACATCTCCAGAAGCAAGATAACTTGCAGAGGGGACATAAAGTATTATTAGTTTTGGCTCTTTTTCCCCTCTGGCCTAAAGAGCTTACAGGGTGCAGGGATACTCTGCACCTGAACTTACCTCCTCCATCTCCCCGGTTCCTAGTTTTAGACTTGAGGGCACTGTGCACAGGACAGGAGAACAACCACAGTTTGTCATTTTCCTTGGAGCAAGGCTCTGAAACCTTTCTAATGGGCTCTTGATTTCTCTTTCACTAGGATAATGTAATCTGAATTCTATTTTATATTCATTTGAAAGCACTTTCAAAGGGAAAAAAAGTCATATTTTCTTGGACTACATTTATTATGCACGGACAACAAATGTCTTCTTATACATGCAGTAAGATATTCTCCTCAGCATGTTCTTCTAGCTTTTGTAAAATAGGATTTAATTCTGCTTTTGGTGTTCTGTATTGTGCTACCGCAGCTTCATTTTACCCTTCTGAAGTTGTATCTGAGACATTAGGACTTTTTTAGCAGCAAGTCAGCCAGATCTAGCCAAAGCTGTTTCATATTTGCACACACAAATACACAAATATTTAATTGATCCAAGTAATGTGAGTTTAAGCTATGTGAAAGAGGTTCAGCGTTGTGCACTGGTACACCAGACAACGCACTTGCAAGATGTTGTCACACAGAGAACAGGTTCATACATTCAAATGAGTCACATTCTCCATAAAAGTATTTAATGAAATTTCGTTTTCAAGTACGCATTAAAATCTATGGGATTAATGGCAGTTTACACTGGGAGCTTCAGGTAGAGAACTTTTATTCCCAGTCATGATGAACAAATTAGAAAACATCCAGCTTGTCCCTCAGATCTCAACCAGAGAGATGAAGAAGATAACAACAAAGAAGAAAATCTCTCCTTCCTCCCACCCCTGCAACAGTGCAAATGCAATACAGAGCCTCTCACATGCAATAAAACTAAAATTCCTTGGAGGTTTGATTTATTTTGGTTTTTTACATAGCTTTCTTTTTCAGATAATGCATTTTAATTGCATTTTAAGACCTGTATCCCAAATTGCAACAGAAGAGAAGGATACTCTAATATATGTATTTAATAATACATAACACTTACAGTATCTGCTTCTTTTCCATCAATCATCTCCAGATCTTTCAAAAACCACTTTTCAACTATTTCATATTTCTCCTCTCGATCCACTCGCAAGTGTTTAACCATACATATTTCTACTTCTTCACTTTTAGTCACTGCAAGAAAAACATAGTTTAGATATGCAAGGAAGTACTTCCCAAAAGTTCCAATAATAAAAGACTTAACCAAACTGCATTTTAGATGATAACCTAAATGATGATGGGCAGGGCTGTATAGAGCTGTACTGGACTTAATAGTTTTATTTCGCCCTGGTAGTAGGAATAGCACCATGTTCTCAGTCTATGAAACTTGTCAGCTTTTGGTAGATTTAGGCTTTACCTTACCTGTCCTGTGAAAAGAGAACCTTGTCTGTGCAAAAGCCTTTCATCTGAATTCACTAGCAGTGCAATGAAAGCCTAATTCTGGATCTGTATGGATAATCCACTTATCCTACTTACTTCGAGGGGGAATCTTTTGGGGTGCTGGAGCCAGAAAATTGCAAAACTGCTAGCAAGGCTCTGTATTTACATGACTTGTGCTATACTTTTCATTCTGTGGATGAAGTTCTCTTATGAAGCCATCAGTTTTTTAAAGCAAAACTCTTTATTTCCCTCTAAAATACGTAAGTAGGCCACTTCACAAAAATAATATCAAAAATATTTCTTAAAGCTTCAAGTTGCCCAGGGCTATCTTTGTAGAAATTACTATTTTCCGACTTAGGCAGGAAATGAGAGTAAAAAGAGTACAAAGACACTCTTTGCAATAACTACCGTTATTAATTGATTACATTGAGTGCTGCATAGGAGACTAGATTTCTGTAACACACGAGTGTGAAAAACACCCAAGCCTGAGCAATCTCCTGCACATCTAGCATGATAGCTGCAGGGCAGGCCACTTCCCCAAGCCATCCGGTAGCCTAAGATAAGGGCAAGATGTCACCTACCTCCCCGCAGGAGCGTTTTGACTTCATAGCACAAGGCTACAGATGCAGGAACAAAATTCTTTTGTTTCTAAACACTGCCTGAATTTTTGAAAACTCATTTTGAAACTTGACTAATTTTATCTTATTCCTGATAAAACATCTCTTATGTTTCACCTGTTTATAAGAAAATGGTTATTAAATAAAGACAAACAAAGGATATATGTTGGAGATACGCCTTCTTCCAATTGCAAAGAAAAACAGTGGAGAATATATAAATTGATTATAATTTCTCTCAGCCTATAGCTTCCCTGCCTGGGGAATACAAATCACTTTTGCTTTCTTTCCTGGTCCTATCAGTTATAGTTGCTCAATGATTTTTAACCAAAGGACCACCACTGTATTATCTTCCGTAGAGAAGTTACAATGGTTTTCATTTGCAAGCAAATCTAGTAGGCTAATCTTCGAAAGTTCTCTCCATACTTTCAGTTTCTCCCATTTTGTTTGTTTGCTTGCCTGCTCGTGAGGGAATATGTTGTCTCTCTCAGAGTTCAAACAAAAGGAAACAAGCTCAAACCCCTAGTCCTGTCAGAAATACAAGGGGATGTCCTAGTGGCCCCCAGGTCCCCCACACTGCCACTTCTCTACCCCTCATGCAGGAGTAGAAATCTTATGATGTAAGGACAGAGCACAAATGCGTTAGGAATAACAAAACCAGGAGCATGTCCTGCCCAGTGGTGAAACTTGGATGGATTATTTTCAACTAAAAAAAAAAAAAATAAAAAAAAATCTTTCTTTTCCTGCATTTTAGATAATGGTTGTTCTTGCACTCAGTTAACAGAGTTAAAATTTAATTTCTTACATAGAACATGAACTCAGATCTACCATGTCATCCTATTAAACTCTAAAAGCTTCTCTCGGGGAAGGCACTGCTGTGGCAATGCCTTCATAGAGCACAAACTATTTCTTAAGGTTTTCCATGGACTAAACACCTTTTTCAGAGTCTCTGTTGGATAATGCGATGTTATCCTTACTGTTCTTCTCAGGCATACCAATACAGGGTTGTGAAAATCCCTGAATGTGGTTACATTTCAGCTGTATGTTCTTCCAGGGTTTATAAAGCATTTAGTGAAAGGACACTATTGCCTTCACCTAAGAACTGGGACTTGTTATTGTGAAAAGGAGGGGAAATAATGTTGGATGTATGGCACAAAAATAAGATTGTTCAGTTACCCACACCAAGATTTTGTTGTAATATAGATTTCAAAAGGCATAGACCTCTAAAGTTTTTGCTGTAGTTTGACTGGTTTTTTTTTCTTCTGTTATGGTAATTTGAAATCAGCAGGAATATACTGAGGTTGCATTGCAGGGATAAGATTTTAGATAATGTGTTTTGCTCCTACAGAATCACAGCAGATTACAGTAGCTGCTGGCAGCTGGATGCAACCCATCTTTCAGAATCAGATTTCCACTCTACTCACCACTTACTTGACTATGCCTGAATGTATTAGGAGAGTTTAATATTGGGTACTGAAGAGATCCCACTCTTAGTACTCTACATAAATTTTCTTTTATGTCCTCAGAGACTTCCAATCAGTTAATCCGATTAGAGGCTTTCTTTAATGGCTTGTTCTCCTCTACCTTAAAAAGAAATTTTTAGTAAAGATTTTAAAGGTGCATAATGTTATTTTTCCTCTTTGGATGTTTCACAACAGCGAACAGTTTAGATCAGAACAGTTTACATGCAAGTAAAGATACTCCTACTAGATAGTTTTGTAAACTATGAATCAGGTTGGAATTTCCGTACATTTAGAAGCTCTGTGACGTTCAGGAATCCATTTCTTAAAACTATTTTTACGGTTCTAAAATACAAAGCCTGTTCTACTAAAACTACATGGGTGCAGGGAACATAGCTTGCTCAGTATTTCCAGTAATCTGTAAAACTACTTGAATATTCTAGAGACTTCAGATGTTTAGAAAGATAATGGTCACAGAATACGGTTGACATCATCCCATATTGGGTGTTAACCCAATCTATATCTCAAGTATATAGATTATTTCTACCTGTTATATGTATTTTGAACCCGAAGAGGAAACAGACCGGAAGAAGCATTCCCTCCTACCTAACTGCTTACTGACAAGAGCATTTCTCTTTTGGGGTATCTTTTGGTGTTGTAAAATAAACAAACGAGCTTTTCTGAAACTTTGTTCTAAAACCATTATGAAACAGTTACACCTGAAATCAGATTTAGTAACGAGCCAGATAATTAAGTTTACCGCTGTCAGCAATCTGGTTTTACTCACAGTTCGTGCCAATTACTAACTCAAGCGCGTGTTTATTTAAACCACAAGTCTAGCTTATTGTTCCCAAAGTAACTGGGACGGCGTGTAGAACATGGGACCGTGCAAAAGCTCTAAAACTCACCACCGGTTCCTGCAATGTTAACGTACTGTTAGGCTTTCCTGTGGAACCCCCGGTTAGAGCCCCGGTAAGGCAGCGCTCTTCCAAAAGCGGTTGAGGCGCCCGCAGCGCTGCCGCGTCCCGAACGCTTTCCGCGGTCGCCTTGGAAGCGCCGCGGGTCTCCCCTGAGAGCAGAGCTCAAGCCCGTTTGAATGAGAGAGGGGAGATCACGCCGCTTTCCGAAGGCTGCTGGCAGCGCGGGGACAGCGAGCTGGGCTGCGGGCCGTGCTGGGGCGCTGCCGGAGCGGCGGGCGGC